CCCCTCCTCCCCTCCTCTCCTCTCTCTAAAGTATTATGCCTCCTGGAGTTCCCGTTCAATGGTAAGCCACGCCCACCCACCGCTATGTCACCCGCTCTGTGATTGGTGGATTTTCTCCTCCTCCTCCCCCCCCCTCCTCCGTCGTTTTTGGAAGTGTCGTATTTTGGATATATCGTATTTTGGAAATGTCGTCTTTTCGATGTCGTCCTTGTGTGTGTATTGATGTGTGCTGGCATAGGAAATGAAAGGACTGAAATGTCGGGAAATGAAAGGACTGAAATGTCGGGACTTTGCGAAAAGTCGTTTTTCTAAGATAAGGACAGTCAAAATGTCGTAGGTCCGTATTTTTTGTGTGTGTGCAGAAAACCGCATTTTCTAAAAATGTAGGTTGAGCCAAATATGGTCATGAGGCTGCAACATGTTGTGAATAAGCAGGTCTTTTTTGTTTGTTTGTTTTTGGGGTTTTTTAAAAGATAATGAGAGATAATAACTGTCAAAACACATTAATTTATTTAATATAAATCAAATTAAATATATTTTAAAATTCAAACTTTTTATTACGTCAGAAATGCAGCGTAGGAAAACAATATTCATATAAACACATTTGAAGAATTTAATCTGAAGGAGCCGTTGTTAGACTTTAATTTTTAAACACCCCCCACCCCTCCCCTCTGTTTTCCCTTCCCATATCAAGACAAATTAGGTCATTGAACTGTAATTAGAAAGGTTTCAAAAATTCGAAATTTAAAAAAAAAAAAGGGCTAATTTTGATTGATTGATTGATTTTTACAAGAAAACTGAAATTTCCCTGGTGTAAGTGGCTCCAAGTTCATCAGGGTTCATCACTGTTTGATGGTAGATCGGCTGTGGCGCCTCTCCACTTGTCCCTGATTTTCTGTTGCCGCGTCACATATGCCCAGATTGTGTGTCCACATATTTACATAGAGGAATGTGTCAATGTGTCCCGTGTGTCCACATATAGGAATGTGTCCCGTGTGTCCACATATAGGAATGTGTCAGTGTGTCCCGTGTGTCCACATATAGGAATGTGTCAGTGTGTCCCGTGTGTCCACATATAGGAATGTGTCAGTGTGTCCCGTGT